AGCTAGGCGACAACTTCTATAACAGTATTTTAAAAGATAAAAGAAGGGTATTTTTAAGATTCTGCAAAAGTTTGTTAGTTTTAATCCAAACAGCAAGATTTTTGTTTAAAAAAATGACAGCTTAACTAAGGAAAAAATTAATAGGAAAAATGACGACAGGAAAAATCAAAGCAGTCTTCTCAGCTGAGTACTTTGCAAAAATTCATCTTTTATATGATTTGCTGAACTGATTTCCCATAAATATGGTGTTCCAGAGCTCTGTTGTTACATTAAATTCTATCCAGATAACAGGATGCTTTAGGGGGGGGGGATTTGCAATTATCTTCACAATCCACAGTTAGATTATCTTAAATTTATTGAAGTCAATTGGTTAAGATTTAAAAGGAATAGTATGTCAAATAAGTATTCTAAATGAAACAGATGTCTTTTGAAATGGCAAACAAGTCTCTGGATTGCAGTGGGATAGAAATGTGTGTTTTATATGAATACACAGATAGAATAAACAACAATATCTATGAGATTTGTATTTTGGGAAGAGGAGTGAGATATTCACTACTACTATGGTACAATGTCCATTGTATCTAAATTTGGTTATCCTGAGAGCAGGGTGGGGAATAGACAACTAAAAAATATGGTAAATGCATGACTACACTGTCCCTGAAACACCATTAGACTCCCACCAATCATGTGCCAGTACATGAAAGGTTTCATTGATGGTGTCACATATTCTCCGTGATCTCATTCAAGACACTAATGGCTGTTGTTTTTGATACAGCATTGAGAAGAAAGAAACCAAATTTTTAATTTCAGCAGGGGAGAAAATGTCAATACAGACCCATTTGCTTTTTGGGTTCTGGGAGAAAAAGCCATTCTTGATAGAGACAAGATCTCCACTACAATACCATTTCATGGATCTAGGAGGCAAACCATGCTTTCTCTTTCACCACACTTACCCTGTTATGACCAGCTTTTTTATGGCTGAATTTAAGGCTGGCAGGTTGGGATCATCTGAATTTGAAAGGGACATTGCTCCACCTCCCCTGTTACATAATGTTGGCATAATGGCCATAATGGTCTATACTTCAAATAGTACGGAAATGTTCCTTATGGATTCTACCATAGTCAACCAATCTTTCTGAAGAAATCTATAGTGACTAATGTAACAATTCTGACAATGTTGCTTGTCAGGCCAGATTTACTGCCAAGCCAAATCCTTAGCCCANATTTAGAATTCTACACTTCATATTAAATAGGAAACTCACATAATGTAACCTATGATCATTAACTCCAAACTGGTGTAGTAAAAGGGGAAAGGACAAAGTCCTGTATTACAGAACCATGGAATCACAGTTTCAATCTCTTAAGAAACAAAATTTGTACAACTCCTATAAGTACTAATACACCTTGATTCTCTTCCTAGACCTACAATCTTTAAAAAAAATAGAATACTAATTACTGTCAACATCCAACTATGAAACTATACAGTGAAACACAGCTAAAGATTGGCTATTGCTCTATTTTTACCAGAAGAACACACAGGTCGGCACACAGTTGAGACACAGTTTACAGTTCCTCAGCCAGCCTCATTTGTCAGCTTTCAGTTCCAGAGAGGAGGAGAAATTGAGCAACTAGTCAGCTGAGAGATTTTTCTGATTATACCAGCATAATGAACTCCTTAAACCAGGAGCATTTGAATTATGCACAGCATTCTTTACACCCACAGATCCCAGAAAGCAAATAGCATCCATTCTGTATGCAATTTTCTTCACAACAGTGCTTTTATATATATCTGTAGGAAGAATGGTCAGCTGGGAAGCGGTCTCAAAAGAATAATTGATCAATTAATTGTACAAAAGACAAATATTGTAAACCATCCCGTTTTCTAAAGATATATAAACTCACACAGTGTCAATAGGTTGCAAGCCACATTAGGGTACTGCCATATATATGAATATATATATATTCTGCTACGCAGATTAACCTATTTCTCCCTCTGGGAGCCGCTTCCCGTGTCTTCGTGTTAAATTCTGGGAAATACTCTCAAGCGGCAGAGGCGTTTCATCGTTAGGAGCATCGCCAGGGAGTGACACAGGGAGCGCCCATCGCTGCCTCGTCCCCAAGAACGCTAAGAAAATGCTCCACAGCTGCTACTAGTGCGGATGCCACGGCTGTAACTAGTCCCTTCTCCCAGGACCTCCCTATGACCCTCAACGCCTTCCAAGCACGGGTGCCATCGCGAAAGGAAAGCAGGGCCTCGGGATGGGAAACCAGGGGAGCCCGCCTAGTAAAAAGCCCGTCTTCTGCTCGAAGTGCCATCCAGCTCCTCGAGGGGCGACAGCCGAAGGGGGTCCGCGTACCGCCGCCGCCACGTACACGGATCCTCCGCGCTCCCGGCCGCCCTGCCCTTCCGCGGCGTGACATACGACTGTCCTGCCGAGAGGAGCCAGAGATTCAAGCCCCCTTTAGAGGAGCCAGTGATGACCCGGGGTGCGGCCGGGTTCACTCACCATTGCTGTACGGCTGCTGCGGTGGCGGCGGCTGGCCGGCTCTAGTAAGGCTATTATACGCGGGCCTTCCCGGCTGGGCCATAGCAGCAAGCAAGAGGATCGCTTCGCGGGCGTCTCTGAGTCTTGCTCCGGCGCCAAGCCCAGGAGGGGAGGCCCTGCTCTTCACACCGGAAGAAAGTAAACGAAGGCCGCGCAGGCGCACTCGGTACACGTGGCACTTCCGGAACGGAGGATCCCGCAGCCGTAGGCGGGGCTTAGGGTTGAAAAACCGTGGCCTTGGAGGCGCGGTAGAGATTTAAAGGAATAGCACTCTGGGGACATCATCGGGGCGGGGTTTTGCTTTAAAAGCGTTGAATTGACAGGCGGGATTCAGTGACACCTAGGCTCACCTTGCTCAGAGTCCAATTTTAAAGAAAAAAAATCGACCCATAGCTGCTCAGAACCATCAGTGGGTAAATCAATAAGTCTTCTAGGATTCGGAGAGTGAATTTTCTTCAATCCTGGGAACTCAGCTCACCCAGAGTTTGAGATTTAGTATGGTGTAAGGTCAGGTCAAAAATGCATAAAGATATACGGTATGTAACATGTAAGCAAACATTTTATAGTTGCAAATTTATAAAAGGAACGGAATAATTTTCTAAAGTAAAATCACACTGGTTCCTGATAGTTTCCTAAGCATGTCCGTATAGGGGACTTTTTCTCTCTTTCCTTTTTTCTTTGACAACACTGAAAGAAGAGTTTACCACGCTGCATCATCTGGCGTGATTTTTCACCTTTCCAGTGTAGGTTATGCTGCAGCTGTGATATTTCTTAGACTTCTGCCACCTAAGCAGAGCTGATGTGGCTCAGTTTTTTAACATCAGCAATGGCATCTGCAGAATCTTGCACTATGTTGCAATACAAGTTCCACCTCTTATCTACATACAGAAGGGAAGGGCTTGTTTCACAATAGAACACTGCGTTCAACTTTCTTCCCTTCTCTTGCTTCCATGGCACCCACTACATTTCAGGCAGGTTTAGCTAGGCGACAACTTCTATAACAGTATTTTAAAAGATAAAAGAAGGGTATTTTTAAGATTCTGCAAAAGTTTGTTAGTTTTAATCCAAACAGCAAGATTTTTTTTTAATGACAGCTTAACTAAGGAAAAAATTAATAGGAAAAATGACGACAGGAAAAATCAAAGCAGTCTTCTCAGCTTCTTGCAAAAATTCATCTTTTATATGATTTGCTGAACTGATTTCCCATAAATATGGTGTTCCAGAGCTCTCTTGTTACATTAAATTCCACCCAGATAACAGGATG